GATACCCACAACATGGATGAATCTCGAAATCATTATGTGGATTGAAAGATGCCATACAAAGAGTACACATTGTATGATTCTGTTTACACAGAATTCTAGAAAATGCAAACTAACCTACAGTGACAGCAAGCAGAAGGGCGTTGCTTGGGGAGCCGGGTGTGGGAGGAGAGAGAGGGCACGAGGAAACTTTTGAGGCGGAGGATATGTATATTGTCTTGAACTTGGGGATGGTTTCATGGGTGTTTACATATGTCAAACCTTGTCAAACTGTATACTTTAAATATTTGCAGCTTACTGTATACCAATTATACCTCAATAAAACTTTCTTTTTTTATTTTTTAAAGGTACTATACTTCTGGCCAAGATAGACAGGATTTACCATCCTGATTCAAGCAACTTAGAAAACAAGACCAAATATGTAAAACAATGGTTATCGGTCTCTGGACGAATAGGGAGCCTAGGAGAGGGACCCCTGAGAGAGAGAAGGAACAAAGGAGGTGGCCCAGGGACTGCTCTAGCCCGCTGTCTGGGGAGAGCATCCAGGCCTCAGCATAGGGAGAGAAAACCCAAACCCACAGGCTCTCTGAGATGAGAAGAAAGAGTTTGGAGTCTGAGCAAGTCAGGTGGCTAAAACTCGTGGGAGAGAGTACTGAAGAGGAGGGAGCTGCAGAGAGCTCTGGAGACGTGCAGAGGGCTCCTTGTGAGGCTTCAGCTAAGTTCGGATCTGCGCGTGCACGTGAGGAAAGGGAAGGACCTACTGGAATGAAGCAGGTGGAGCGACCTCTGGAGCTCACACGGGCTGGCCAGTGTGGAAGGTCCCCCTAACTGTGGGACATTACACTGTATAGAGTCTCAGAAGGGCACTGCCTCCCTAGTGGGGCCAAGTTAGCCCTAGACTACAGGCTGTCTGGAGCTCTAAGAAAGCTTCAAAGCAAGCCTCAAAAAGGATCAAATTGATTCCAAGTAACTTAACCAGAAGCCCCAAAATATTTTTAAAAAGAAAGAATCCAGCAATCAATGATGTTAAATTCACAGTAACTGTCAACCAATCAAAAACTACCAGGCATACAAAAAAAAAGAGGTGAGATCCAAAAGCAGGAGAGAAATCAATGACAGAAACCCAGCTAGAAATCATCAGATGACAAAAATAGAAGAAATCAGAAGGGAAATTATAAAATATTTTAAACTGAATGAAAACAAACTGCATATATCAAAATTCATTAGATACAGCCAAAGCAATGCTTAGAGGGAAATTTATAGCATTAGATTCACATTATAAAAGAAGAAAGATTTAAAAATCAAATACTGGTACAGAGAGGGTATGAAGGAAGTTTTTAAATAATGAAAGTGTAATGTATCCTGATAGTGGTGGTAGTCACACAAATTCATACATGTACCAAAATTCACAAAACTAAATATTAAAAAATGAATTTTACTATATGTTAATTTAAAAAATAAAATAAATTGAGTAGCTTTAAAAAATCAATGATCTAAGCTTCTATCATAAGAAACTGTAAAACAAAGAATAAATTAAATTGGAAATAAGCAGCAGTAGGTAAGAAATAAACATAAAAATAGAAATGAATGAAATAAAAAAACAGAAAAACAATAAAAAATAGAGTAGCAATAAAGTTGATATAATCCTCTAGCCAAACTGATCAGGGGGAAAAAAATGAAGAACCAAAACCTCAATCTCATGAATTAGAGAGGGAACATCACTACAGATTCCACAGACATTAAAAGGATAACAATAGAATATTATGGTCAAGTTCATGCAGATAAATCTGACAGTTCAGATGAAATGACTCGTTCCTTGAAAGACACAAATTACCAAAGCTCACTCAAGGAGACATAGACAACCTTGAAAAGTTCTATATCTACCAAAAAAATTGAGTGGTTAAAAACCTTCCCTCAAAGAAAATTCCAGGCCCAGATGGCTTCACTGGTTTAAGGAACATATAAGGAAAAAATAACTCCAGTTCCACAAAAACTCTTCCAGAAAATTCAGGAGAAGGGAATATTTCCTAATTCATCCCACAAAGTAAGCATAACCCTCACAGTAAAATCAGACAACAGAATTGCAAGAAGACTACAGACCAGTATCATTCATGAACACAGATGTAAAAATCCTCAAGAGAATTTTAGCAAATCATATCCAGCTTTGTATATAAAGTGCCACACAAGGTGGTACTAACCCGGAGGGAACATCACCTGAAAGGATCAGAGAGAGCTTCCTGGAGAGGTGACTTCTGGGTGGAACCTTGACAGACAAGCAGAATTTCAATAGGTGGTGATGTTGGGGAAGAGAAAATGGCAGGAAAAAACACAAATAAGAAGGTGGCAGCCTGTCCAGGAGCAGGGTGAATGCCAGGCTTCCAAAGGAGCTCTTTTTCCTGGGAACAGTCCCAGACCCAGGGCTGAGCCCCCTGGGACCAAGTCTGTGCTGTGTGACCCTGTCCTCCAACCATAACTGACTATTCCAGAGTTAGACACACCACCAAGCTCAAAAAATCAGATTTCTTGCCCAAGCATTTGAAACTTGAATGGAGCCAGACTCCCAGCCTGGGATTTGCTGGGACCAACTCAGAGCCCTTGAGGGATGGTCCATGAACTTTTGCTGTTGAAGTCCCCAAAGCTGGTTGTTTCCTGTCCTTTACTAGGCTTTTCAGCAATTTCTTGGATCCTGTGAACTGCCCCAGGGGCCTTCCTATAGACTTTCCATTTTAGCTTAAGTTGAGGAGAGGCAGTTTCTGCTGCTTGCAACTGAAAGAACATTAAAGAGTTCAGTGAGTACCATGACAGCCCCTACCAGGTTACCTCTATGGACAATTCTCTCATTGCATAAAAATGTGAAAAGCCCTGGGCCAGAGCCAAGAGTCTGTAAAGGGAAATCCTGGGACTCAGATCAAACCTACCTGACAGGTAGGTGCAAGCTGGATACCCCAAGTGACAGGTACAGGAGGGTGGAGTTTAAGGGAGCAAGGCAGGGGCTAAAGGTTTCTGGATGGGGAAAGGCTATGATCAGAGCAGACTTAATGTAAGAAGGTTATCTGGCAGTGCTATAGAGGAAGGACTATAAAATGGCAACGTGTCTGACCCCTCAGGGAGGCCGCTAATTAATTAGTGCAGGTATGAGACTGTGGCTGCTGGAGTGACCTGCCCAGACCTCTCTTGCTCCCGTGCCTTTCTCACCTCCAGCACCTAGCTTGGAGCCAGGCACTGAGCAGGCACTCAATTAAAGTCTGCTCATCAGATAGGCTGAAAAGGAAAAATTGACAAAACTTGATGACTAAATGCTGGGATTGAAGGAGGGAAAGAGCTAAAGGTCATGGCAGTTTCAACCTTGGTTGGCAAATTCAGCTGAAACAGAAATGGCAGGAAATGTGACCAGGTTGGGGTATATATTATGGTTATGAGTGTAATGGTGGACAGACTATTTCAAGGTATTGCTGAAACACCTGGGTAGGAGTCTCCAGCATGTAACCAGCAGGAGCTAAGACTGCAGAGCCAGAATGAGGAGGGCATAGCGCACGGGGGTGGTGGGGGGAGTGGTGGGCGTTCATGGGTAGGAGCCCGTCAGTCTCATGGAGTTTGGTTTATCCTTACTAACTGAGGCCCCTGTGTGCCAGACACCAAGCCAAGGGCCTGGAGAGGACCACAGAAGGCATGGGAGTGAACAAGACAGTGGAGGGACAGCAGGATTTGGAGCTGACGCCCTTCTTTCAAAAGTCTTAGGCTGTCCTTACAGACTTGCCCCTGAGTACAATGACTTCCACCTGAGTGGAGTAGCATGGTTCGTCCTGTCTACAGTAGGCAATGCCTGGAAAGAGCCTCAGTGCCGTTCAGGAGGGGATGGCAGCACAGACATGTGGTCAAAAAGAACAGGCAGTTCTGCATGGACAGGAACCCCTGTGCTGACACATGATGATGTGAGAAGAGAAGGTGAAAAACTGACATACAGACACCTCCATTTACAGTTAGGAGGGCAGTCATAGAAATAAAACCACATACACTCCCACTTGGGTTTGCTGGGCTATCTTTAAAAAGGCACACAAGAAACTGGTAGCATGGACTGTCTTTGAAGAGAAGAGCTGGGACCAAAGGCAGGGAGGATACTGTTTTCACTATATATTCCCCTGCCACCAATCAGCTTTATCATGATTAATGATTTAAGACTAAATAGTTTGTTGAGTGCACTTTAGTATCTCTAGCCATAGGCTGTCTTAGTAAAAATCGACTCCACCTATTCCCCAATACGCTCATGAAAAACCTACTCAAACAGCCCTTGATGTGATATCTCTCTCCTCTATGCTCTTGGCAAGGGCTAGAAGGAATATTCCTAAATTCTTCTTTGAAGAGGTTCTGGCGTGGAGGTTTCAGAACATGCCTGCCAAGCTGGGGCTGGGGGGCCTCCAGTGACCACTCCCAGGAGCCGGCAGTAACAGCGTGGACGAAGGAGTCCCAGTGCGGCCTGGTGGCGCGACAGGAGCTGGACCCTGGCCACCAGCGCCAGCAGGGGAAGCCGGCGGACCACACCTTTCTTCAGAGAGGAAACCTACACTTCCACAAAACCCACCCAGGGTCTATTTTAGCTCTGAACCCAGAGCAAGAACATCAAGTATTATAAATAGCAAAACCAAGATTACCATTTGACTGATTTCAGTTCTGATGTTAGGAAAGAGGTCGGATGCTAAGTCAGTTGTAAATCAAGGGGTCGAAAGAAAACCACAGTGTGAACACAGTCATACCAGGTTAGGCAGCCAAAACCCTAACCTCCCCGCCTGTCCCCATATGGCCTGAGTAACCAATTCCTGTGGCTTCAGTTGGTAGAAAATCACCTGAGAAATTCTAACGAGGCTGAGGAGTTTTGTGAGAATCCACCGAAGCCAGAAAGGAAATCCTGCGTGGACAGTGCCTTTCCTTTCCCTCCGCGCAGCGGACGGGGAGGATGCCACCGAGGACCCAAGGACAGCCGGGAAGGCAGCGAGGTGCTAGCTTACCTTTATTATGCGACATGGCATAGAGGAGGCAGAGCACAAAGAGGGCGTGGTAATCGTCATCCGGGCTGTCCAGGGCATGGTATACCATATCCAGGAAGGGTCTGGAAAAGAGGAGGGGCATATATGAGTCCTGTGGCACACATGGGTGAACACCTCCCCTCTCCCACCTGCGCGTGGGGCACAGCGGCCCTTGCCTCTCACGACTCTGCGCTTAGGCCACTGTGGCCAGCTGTGGGTTTAGGCCACCTGTGGGTAGAGAGGCCACTGTGTGCCCAGCTCAGCACTAGGCACTGAGGCCACAAAGACGAATGAGAGATGGGCTCTTCCCATGGAAAGCTGCTATGCAGAGGGGAAACTGACCAAGGAACAGAGCACTTAGTCACTCAACAATCATCCATCAGGTGTCCCAGACACTGGGGATAATTGGCACAAAGTCCCTGCTCTTTGGTGCTTCCATGCCAGTTGGCAGAGACAGAGGACAGACAGCACTCCAAAGTGATACATATCACAAGAGAACAAAGAAAGTGAGCAGTGTGATAGGCTAGCAACACCAGACAAGGCATGAACAACACTCTGAACAAGTTTAAGAACATGGGCCCTAGAGCTAGACTGTCTGGGTTCAAATTCTGATTTTGCCTCTTCTTAACTGCAAACCTTCAGGCAAGTCACTTAAAACCTCTCCATTTCCCCACCTGTATGACGGGAATTAGAACCCCGCGGGGTTAGTGGGAGGATTCAAGCCCAGTGATGGCTGAGAAGCATTTAGCACAGGGCCAGATACTGTGGGAGTTGCCAGCACCTGGCAGCTGCTGTGTGATTTCTATTTCTAACATTCCAAGGGCACTTCTTCATGCTTTCACCTTGGCAGGGTCCTGGCCCAGCAATTTTTTGGACCGACTTCCCCTGACTGGTAAGATCGACAGCAAGGTCTCTCACCTCTCATGCTTTGTGGGCGAGATCTATAGAGTGGCTGCAAACACCGGAAACCGCACATCCCAAATGCTGCCCTTCCAGGTGAAGGGCTGGCCAGGAAGGCCCCTCAACACAAAGATAACAGAACACGCCCAGCTCGGGCCGTAGGCAGGAGGCTCTGATCCCATGACTGTCTGCGGCTGCCCCTCTGGACGCCGAGCGGGGGCCGAGAGAGCAGAGCACCTCAATGGGGGACTAAGGGCGCATTTAATCCCAGAAGGACACACAAGCTATTATCAACATGGGGTGATACCCTATGGGGTGTGAAACTGGGTAGGTGGAGAAACAGGGAGACTCTTCGCTGTAGAACCTTTGATACTTTTTTGGATTTTGACCTCTATAAATGTATCACCAATACAAAATATTAAATTGAAAAATGCAAAAGTAGTGAACATGTACTTGTCTTAACATTTCAAATAAACATGAGACACATAAATTTTTTTAAAAAAAAACCTTAAAGGAGACATTTATGTTTGGTGCCTGTTTCTCCAGAACCCTAAATGGGTCAGCGCCTTTCAGATGTGTTGATAGTTTTGCCATGTGTAGATCTGGGGTTTTGAAAGCCTCCAGCAATAACACTTCCAATCTTAAGAGCGAGATAAAGTATAACACGTTTTATTGTAGACCAGCAATTTGAAATGTGGATTATATTTTCATTTGAGAATAAAATTAACAACCAAATGCCAATAGCAGTGGGAGGGTTGGGTGGATGTACCATTTTTATAAGATGAAGTGTTATAAAGCCATTAAGAATTTTGCTTACTAAGATATAACAAAGTGAGAAAGATGCTCAGAGTTTGATATTAGGTGGAAAAAAGAAGGAATAAAAAAAGATAGACATGGAATAGTCCAATCTACTGGGGAAGGGAAGGCAGAATTCCCAGAAAGCTGACACTAAGAAAAAACTGGTAAGAAATAACTAAAATGGTGGTAAACGTTGCCTTTGCTGCTATCATGAAGACTTTTTTCCTCCTTCTTTATACTTTTCAAGATTTTTCATTTTCTAAATGGGTTATTATCTTCATAATATTTAAAAGATTTTTTTAACAATAATATAAAAAACAATATTTTGAATGTTTCTCATTTCTTAGGCTTATATTTAATGACAAATGCAGACACAGCTCATAATATATGGGGAATATAAGAAGAGTTTACTTTTTACTACGCCGTTTCTTGGGGCAAGTAGACCAACGTGACAATCCAATTCACATCCTAGAGAAAAAATGGCCACATTCCCTATCCTAAGCACCCTCTCTGCCAGGAAATCAGGGGACAGAGGATGCAGCAGTTTCTCATAACCTGCAACTCTCCACCCCAGCCAGTCTCTTCCCTGGCCTTTAGCCTCAGACAAGAGCAGAGATCGTGTCCAGAGGTTCCGGGGCCTGCATGTGGCCTAATTCAAGGCACCTGTATCAGCTTCCACTATAAGCCATGTGGTCAAAGATGCTCAAAGTTAAGAAACAATCCCAATCAACTCTAAGAAAAACCCCTCTCTTCCCTGAAATTCAGAAAAAAAAGAAGTTATAAACCCCAATCTTCAAACATAACACTTTGGTCTGTTTTTTTTCCCTTTTTGTGGGTGTGTGTGTGTGTGTGAAGAAATACATGGGTGTTTTTCTCCCTTTAGCAAAGCTACAGTATTACCATACTATGCAAAATATGTGCTCTGTTTCCATTTATTAGATCCTAAGAAACTGAACACATCATGACAGTATTCACCCAAGAGCAGCACCTAATATTCTAGTAAGCAGATACACTTGCAGTTACTTAAGCATCCTCCACTGCTAGTCACTGGTGGCTTTTCCAATTATTCATATTCTAACCAATGCTGTGCCAAGGTTGGCCCCAAACTTCTATATTTAGAATGACTTCCTTAATTATCAGGGCTTCAGGAGTAGCTACATTTTTTGCTGCCAAGCAAAATCAAAAAGGCCTTTATATAAGTTATAACAACTGATAGCTCACATCATATTCCAATGGCTTTTTACTTAACAAAACCTAAAATTGGCCCCCTTGCACATCTGTTAAAAATTAATCCCATCTGTTAATAATTGAAATATTTGCCAAGTGAAGAGACAAACAGGATGCAGAAGGAAAAATCAGTGGGTTTCAACTCTTCACTTCAAGTTGTATTAACAAATAGGATGGACTGTGTATTTCTACCACCCCACCCTAAGGGTTCGGGGACAGAGAAACCCTATTGTGCATTTGTTAACTAACCCTAAGGTAGTGTTAATAAGGAAGTTATTGCAGGCATCTGTGCAGTGGGCCACTTGGTAAGGAAATAACCGAGATGAGGATGCCCTCCCAACAGTTCTCTGCACACTTTGGAAGGAGCCTTCCACCCAATGCCATCATGGAGGGATTGGTGCTACACCAAGGTTCTGGGAATTGGGGAGTTGCCAAAGTCTAAGAAGATGTAGCCACTGCAGGCCGTCACTGAAATGAACAAACAGCCACAAAGGCAACGGCGGACAGCAGCATTCAATCGTGCCAGCTGAGTCATGCGGGCAGGCCCTAGGGACGGTGGGGTGTGTGGCCGTGAATGAACCAGGCAGGGGCATCCAAGCCCGCCTCCTGAGGGCATCCTTTCTAGAAGCACCAGAGTGTCTCCAGGAGTAGCCACTGGGAAGTGTGGCCCATTTCCTTAAGATGCGGCCCAGCTCCAAAGTGCTCCAGTGTGGTGCTGCCCTATCCTGGCCAATCTCTTTCCAAGAGGTGGGCACTACAGTGTCGAGTGACGGCTCTGTCCACATGCCTCTAGAGAGGAGTCGTGCTTTTGGGTGGCCCGAGACTGCAGAACCTGGGAAAGGAAAGGAGGCAGCACGACCTGGCTGGGAGACAGAAGAGGCCCTGGCCCAGGCACTCAACCTTCCCGCTGAGCCCATCTGCTCTTCCCGAGACCACGCTGGGCAGGGCGGCACAGCTACCTGCTCCACTGCGCACTGTCATAGCTCGTGGCCGCAGCGCTCTTCTCCTCGTCCGTGGTGTTCTGCTCTTGCACAGAGGTGCTGGCAGCCAGCTCCGAGAGCTTGCTGCGTTCCATGATCACCATCTCGATCTCTGGAAGCCAACATGGAGACCAGGATGAGCCCAGACAGCTTTACAGACCTAGATTTATACACATGCTCATATTCAAGAATAGTATGCACAAATCACTCCCGACGTGTCAAGCAAACGCCCAACAGTGGTGATCTGAACACCAGCAACACACTGGGGGAGAAATGAGACGGAGGCCAGAACCTCTCTTTCCACTCATCTCGGCAACACCAAGAAACGTTTGGTAACAAAACACAAATTGCAATCCATTACTCTATTTCAAGATTTTAAAAAGATATCTGTTTTACTCTACTGATACCACATTTCCTTCCCAAAGGATTTGGGGCAGCTGAGAAGATGTGGTTAATGAACATAACCAAACTCACGGATGATATTCTGAAGCTGCTAACATTTTAGAAAAGGCTCTGACGTGACTGAAGCCTTCCCTTTTCCACGTGCAACTTCTGGAAGGCAGAGAGAGGTCAGAAACCTTGCGGTTCCTCCCCCACCAATTAAATAAGGGCAACTTGTAGCAACCAACTTAAGCATGGGTGCATTTTTATTTTTTAGAAAAAGTTATGACCCACTAAAGAAAAACATCTTGAATTCAAGAGGGATGGTGGTTGGGCTTCACCATGTCCCTGTCACAGAGTTCTCTGCCATGTGGGTGTGGACTTTCAGTCAGCCAGTCCTTGGAACTCAGATTCAGGTCATTATTTAGGTCATTTTCCCCATCTTCAGGAGATATAATGGGGAAAAAAAAAGATGAAATGTGAACCTACATTTCTGTTTCTGGAAGGATGAGAATACATAACTTGGGCTGAGACATGGCCTCCACCAGGTCCTCCCCCCGGGGCTGGTGCCGGGGCCTCCTGACTGGCCTCTGCTTCCTTTCTCTCTCCTCTAGTTTGTTCTCCACATGATCCCAATGTGATTACAAGGAAATTAGCTCATGTCACATGTCACCTTTCTGTTTGGAACTCCCGATGCCTTCCCATCACACTCAGGATGGAATCCGAACGCCTTCCAGGGTGCAGGCCTGGCCCCCGTCCACCTCTGACCTCACCTCCGGGTCCTCCCTGCCTTACTGCCTCACGTCCGTCACTCCCGCTGTGCTGGGCGTCTCACTGTCTCTTCAACACCCAAGCCTGTTCCCACCCTGGGAACTCCACACAGCAGTTTCCTCTGCCTGGAAGGCTCTCACCCAGGTCTCTCCTCCCCAGGGTGACTCCAGTGCATCACTCAAGGCTCAGCTCAAATGTCACCTCCTTGGAGACATCTTGGTTGCCCACTCCACCCATTTTTTTCTTTACCTCTTTTAAAATTATTCTTAATTAAGACTCCACACTTTGTTCATATTTCATTAATTTTTCCCCAATGTCCTTTCTCTGTCCAAGATCAATGGTTGAATTTAGTTGTCATGCTTAGGCTCCTCTGGACTGCGACAGTTCCTCAGACTTTCCTTGCTTTTGATGACCTGGACAATTTGAGGAGTACTGGTCAGGGATTTTGAAGAGTCCCTCAATCTGGCTTTGTCTGATGTTTTTCTGATAATTAGACCGGGGTTATGGGTTTTGGGGAGGAAAATCCCAGGGGGAAGTGCTCTTCTCATCACATCATATCAAGGGCACATACTGCCAACATGACTTTATGACTGCTGATGTTAATCTTTAACACTTCGCCAAGCCAATGCTGTTCAGCTTTCTCCACTGGAAAGTTAGTTCTCCTCCTTCCATACCATACTCTGCGGAAGGACGTCAGTTAGCACCGGTCACATTAAAGAATGGAGAGTTATGTTCTATTTTAAGTATCTTACACAAACTATTTAGAATTCTTCTGTATGAGAGACTTGTCCTCCCTCCCCCCTTTACCTTGATTTTACTTCACAGCCTTTGTAACTACCTGGATTTTAAGTTCTCTATTGCGCTGCTTGTTTGCTGCCTTTCTTCCTCCACTAGAATGGGGCATCCTAAGAGTAGCTGCCTTACCTGTCTTGTTCTCCACTGTGTCCCCGGTGGCTAACACAGGACCTGGCACAGAGGAGGTGCACAATAGGTATCATGTTCACAGATAAATGGATGACTGCTCTAGCCCAATGCGGGAAGTTTTGGCAGCAGGCAGGGCTGGCTCTGGCCTGTGACCATAGGTCCACCTCCCCTGCAGCTGCCAGTTCCCCTATTCCAGGCACAGCTCTGTCCCTGCCTGGCTGACGGAGTGGGAACTCACCTCTGAGACCCCTTAAGGTTACAGTGTCAAGCCCTAGTGCCTTAGCCTGGAGGCCACTTCTGCTGAGACATGGTCGTCCTGGCTTTCGAATTTCCCTGGACACCATCAGAACTCTGGAGCAGAGGAGGAGTTTAAAGATAATCCACTCAAGCGCTCGTCTAATGTTTTAAGCAGCTGTGGGGTTTTTTTGTTTTTTTTTTAGACAGGGTCTCATTCTGTCACCCTTGGGTAGAGTGCGGTGGTATCATAGTAGCTCACTGCAGCCTCCAACTCCTGGGCTCAAATGATCCTCCTGCCTCGGTCTCCCAAAGTGCTAGGAATACAGGTGTCAGCCACAGCACCCAACTTGAATTTTGTTTTTCTTTTTTGAGACAGAGTCTCACTTTATTACCCAGGCTAGAGTGAGTGCCGTGGCGTCAGCCTAGCTCACAGCAACCTCAAACTCCTGGGCTCAAGCGATCCTGCTGCCTCAGCCTCCCGCATAGCTGGGACTACAGACATGCGCCACCATGCCCGGCTAATTTTTTCTATATATATTTTTAGTTGGTCAATTAATTTCTTTCTATTTTTAGTAGAGACGGGGTCTCACTTAGGCTGGTTTCAAACTCCTGACCTCGAGAGATCCGCCTGCCTCGGATCCCAGAGTGCTAGGATTACGGGTGTGAGCCACCACACCTGGCCCTTGAATATTAATTTTGAACGACAATTTTCCAGGGCATACCACCACAGAAAGAAGAGCGGAGCAGAGGTGCTCTAGAGAAGAGGTGGTGAGTAGCAAGCATCTCTGACTACTCCATGGAGGCTCCTTTCTGGAATTCTGGTTCTTCACACAAAACTGCCTAAAAGCCACTGGTTTGGTCCAACCCTAGATACTGTATGTGAGAGAACAGAAACCCTGAAGTGCAGTGACTCTTAACACAGCTGGGAATACAGCACTGAAACCAGGACTGCTCCCCCTTCCCCATCCCCACAGCACATCCTGGGGCAGGACCAGGCCCACGAGCCTCTCCGCACAGAACGAGGTTTCTGAACCTCGCTCATCCAGACAGCACAGTTGTGGAATGAGCTGTTCCACTTAATCTTCTACGTGAATACATATCAGTTCTTCCCATGTCAAAACAGGTTTTTGCCTCCTTCTTTTTAACAACTGTATCCAAACAATCCTTTTTTTTTGAGACAGAGTCTCACTCTTTGCCCAGGCTAGAGTGAGTGCCATGGCGTCAGCCTAGCTCACAGCAACCTCAAACTCCTGGGCTCAAGCAATCCTTCTGCCTCAGCCTCCGAGTAGCTGGGACTTCAGGCATGCACCACCATGTCCGGCTAATTTTTTCTATATATATTAGTTGGCCAATTAATTTCTTTCTATTTATAGTAGAGACCTGGGTCTCGCTGTTGCTCAGGCTGGTTTCAAACTCCTGACCTTGAGTGATCCTCCTGCCTTGGCCTCCCAGTGTGCTAGGATTACAGGTGTGAGCCACCACGCCCAGCCTCAAATAATCCTTTAAAGTACCATCTCTTACTTAGAGTCTGCCAACTCTCTGAACCTGTATGCACAATGCTGCATGGGCGTGGGAGTGGTGGGTGGTAGGTTTTAGGGAGAAGCTCTCCCCAGATTCTCACTGCTCTCATGGATTCTACGCCATCTCTAAAAGGGGGTGCCAAAGAGGGTTTGACCTTTCCTGATGATTCAGGGTCACAGTGAACCACACCAGGGCTGTGCTGCTTCTGGGCCCCAGCTACCACTTGTCCGTGCTGACGCTGTGCCTACCTCAGTGTGGCCTGGCTTCCCTGCCAGGGTGCCTGTGCCACGCTGCCGCCACCCGGAAGGAAGCTCAGTGGGCTCATGTGGACACAGATTTCCACTGATGGTCACTGAGGCCGAGACTCAGGCTCTGAGGATGGATTACCGGGGCTCTTCTGAACCCCAGTTACACTATGAGCCATTTTCCCTCACCAACCAGCCTTCCATTTTGGAGTTCGAAGGAACTGCAGCAATAATTTAGCTTTGTTTTGCTCAAACTTCAGTTATTTGCTTGCTTTTATGATTTTTGTCACGTCTGTTGCTGCCCGTATCGTTATGTATTTAATCATTTTATTTGAACCATCTCACTTTTTCCCCACTTAAATATAGTTTAAAAGGAAACTATAAATCACTATTATACCCTTCAGCCTAGCCATCCACTTGGTATTTATTGGGAAGACACACCTCCAACAGCATGGAAAAGCACAGGCGGAGGGTATTCACTGCAGTGTTATCTCTAACTGCAAAGCACTGGAAACTACCTAAATGTCCCGGCCTGAGAGCCTGGTGGAGTGAACTATGGTCCGTACACACTGTGCAGCTGTAGAAAGGAACGAGGAAGACCTTTGATGACGGTGTAATTTCCGGTGATATTGCTAAGTGAAAGAGCAACACGCCAAAGGATACATATAGTATGCCACCCTGTGTGTAAGAAAGAAAGGAAAAGAAAACACATGCAAATCTGCTTATTTTTACAAAAAGAAACACAGGAAAGATACTCCAGAAGACAATCGAGTTGGTTATTTACAAGAGATGGTAGAAATGAGGTGGCAGGGACGTGGGACAGTGGTGGTGGTTGGGAATGCTTCTTTGAACATACCTTTTGGCATAGTTTTAAGTTTGTTAATATTCTGCGTATTTTAAAAAGGAAATAAAATCAGTAAGAATGGGAAGGGAGAACCCTAAGCTGAAAAACAAGGACTCAAATTTATTTAAAGGTGAGTGCCACGTCTACCCTGTAGGGAGAAAAGAACAGAAGGACAGACGGACTAATCCA